GATATAATTGCATCTCTAAAAATTGGAAAAGAAAAAAGTAGGAAATCTCATGCTTCATAGACCACTGGTGCAATAACTAAAAGTGCAGCATGTAGAAGTGATCACAACAACCCATTGTTGGATGATTATGTTGATGTGGGACTCAACAGTGATATTGATTCAGAAGATGCATATATTAAAAATATTCTAGTGAGATATACCAAATTCAATGTAAAGAATGGAAGAAATCCCCATTTTTGTGTTGGGTAGAAATTTGAAACACAAAAAGAGTTTAGGGATGCTCTCAGAAATTATGCAATTATGAGTGGAAGACCTGTATATTTGTATACTTGTGAAGACTAGAATAAGAGTTAAATGTGCAGCTCCATGCAAGTTGTTTAGTACGCTTCCCAAGTTCTTACTTTAGGTATAGAGGACTCTATTTCGAAAACAATGAATCATGTATACACTGATTGCAGCCACACTTAGAGAAACAAAAACATGCATCAAATTAGGATGCTAATAGGTATGAAGAGATAGTCAAATCCAACATGAACATGCTAGTTGAACAACTGCTATAGAATATTGATGAATAATACAATTGTGAAATCACAAGAAATAAATGGTACAAAGTGCTTACTGTGACCACCCCACCTCTCCCTAGAGCGTACCCCAGAGTTTAGTGGACTGTCTGCCCAACTCTCGTCAAGATTCACTCACTCACTTCAAGAAAATAAGTTACAGCTTCACAAGTAAAGGAAACAACAGTTCCCAAGTTTAGAAAGTACATTTATACTCATTTCTATCTCAAACGTTCATACATTTCCAAATATACCAAAAGAGCCAAGTTCCAACTAACTTCCAACCCTAATCAAGCACTAGCGCGAGTACAATCATAAAAATTCAAAAACTAGATGACACTACCCTGTACCAACCTCACGCCCGGGCTCGTATTTCCCTGTAAGGAAAACAAAACTAATAGGGTGAGACAAAATCCAGTGAGGTTCCAAAACATCATGCAAACCCAAGTAGCAAATTAACCATTGTAAAAACTTGGAATATCAAATTAACAAGCATAAGAGTTCATAGAAATAAGCAATAACACTTCAAATAACCAATCATTAGATATCCAACATTTCCAGGTAAAAGGATACGGTAACTCTTGCGAGTTAACTCCATCATAGCTTCACTAAGTAATAGTTGACACTCCGTCAACTTTCAAGTAGAGTAACCAGTTCAGTAGATCACCACTCAACTCCAATCTCCATCCACCAATCAATCCCCTATCGGGTCCGAACTCCAAAATAAATAATGGTGGTAATATTCAAGTATATCGAATCCAATGGATCATATCCAAAGGATTACACAATAAACAATAAACGATAATCAGAAAATAGTACCTATGGTTCGCCAGTCTGCTCGACCAATCCTTACTGGCTTGATTCGACTGACTAACCAATAGGGTTAGGATCCCTGGCAGTATTCAAGTCATGCACATGTATATATATCAAAGATTCCATGTGCCTAACGATTAAGGACTAGATATCGTATTTGGAATGAAGGCTAGAAGCTATGAATTTATAGATTATGGAGTCTGGAGCGATGTGACCATTAAGAACAACTACTCTTTTGTCTTACATGGATAAGAATTCGATAATTTGTAAGGAGCCGTGATCCTATTTAAGTTGGATTTAAAGTAGAGATATTACCCGTTTGGGAACCCTAGGAACTAATGTGGTTAATACCGCTTTCAAATTGAGACATGGACACTCTAAAAATTTCGGTACACCCTTCGAGTTGACAGATGCACTAAAAGCATTTATGGACCCAAGGTATCGGAGTTAAACCGTATTTGGACAAATCGGTGGAGGCATTTATTGATGATATATCGATATACTCTAGTGTTTGAGAAGGTCATGAAAGACACTTGATGGTAGTTTTACGAATCTCGAGAGAACGCCAACTTTTGTTAAGTTCAATAACTGTGAGTTCGATTGGAAGAAATAGCCTTTCTAGGTTATACAGTATCTAAGGAAGGAATTATTATTGACTCAACTAAAATGAAAGATTGTATAAGAGGAAACGACCAGAAAAGCATATTGAAATTTGGAATTCTCGGAGTTAGCCGAATACTTCCTTTGGTTTATCAAGGACTTTTGTAAGAGTGCAAGACTTGGCAAACCATTTGAGGTTCTATATGTAAGGGAAGATCTTGAGATGAAGAATGTTAATCGGTGTACATGTGTAGGAGGTAATTTTGTGATTTACACAGATGATTCTCACGAACAAGTCCTTGGAGTTCCTCCCTCATCTTCTTAGCTCGTGCTCGAGTTACGGGTCCTAGGGGAACTCGAATAGTTCGCAATGGTGTCTCTTGGTTCGTATCACACATTTTATCCTCAAGCCAAAAGATTGTGAGGAGCATTAATAGAAGGTTAAGCTGAAAACATTTAGCAGATTCAATGGTCTCTTCAAGCCAACTAGCAAAATCCTGGAATTCACCCATAACTTTCATTATTAAGAACAGATATTGCTACTGCAATTGCAAGGCCACAGTGAAGATATCAGAGAGCGAAAAGAATCCGAACAAATTGTATTTCTATTGCTCAAAATGCAGATATTTCAAATGGTATGATGGTGGAGAAGAAGAAGAAGTTAATAGCAGAAGAAGCAACCACGACACAAACAGGGAAAGAGATATTAGTAGAGCTAGAGTGCTTGGCATTTCAGAAAGGCAATCTGATGTTGCCGTGGAACTGCAAAGACAATTTCCAGCTCCAACTGTCTTAGGTAACGTGTTGCTCATCACCAATATGCTACTGTTAGCTTTATTTATTTTCATTCAAATAGTAAAATCAATTGGCTGAATTCATGTAAATCTGCTGCAACATTGTAGCAGTTGTAGTATGCCTTTTGTGGTGAAATCCAAGTGAAACTAGAAGGCTATGTCAGTTAGAATGCTACATAAACCAATGTAAAATCCATGTATGTAGCAGTTTACAGTCATTGTATGAGGTAATGAATAGCACCAGTATGCTAATTTGACAATAACTCTTGAATGTTAATAGCAGTGACATTTCACATGCTAAAATGCAATAATCATATCAATAGTACATATAACATTTCCATCAATGCAATCCACAAGTACAAAACACCATCTACCAGGACAGTTTCTATAGCAGATGGTGAGGATTGCACCACTAATATTATAAGAGAGTGTGAGCTTACATTAACAAAACATTTCAGCAGTCCTAACTTCTGGTACATTTCCATATAGCAGCACCGAATTCAAAAGAAGCTAAGCTAATCATTACACGCTAATTAGTCTGAACTAGCAACTCAAAACCAGTTGCTGAAAGTGCTGGTACTGCTAATGCTATTGGAGTTCACATTTACTGGTGCATTCATGCTGACAGATGTAGCATTTTCAGATTCAAAAGTCAATTGAACTGGCACCTAAGGATTGGAGTAGTTTTGGTACTTTTGGTCCTACCAGCACTACTGACTATTGAAGTAGAAGGATTGTTTGAAGCAGGCCTTCCTCTCTGTAAACATAATAGCATGAAAGTCAAGTTTAGAGCAAAAATTGTATCACTGAACTTGTTATTCTCTTAGACAAGTTATAGTATACAAGTTAACACCTTTCTGTTAGAACTTGCAGCAGTAGTTTGACAATTGTTCTGCACGTTAACACCTCCATTATGATTAGTAGGGCTAGGATTGCTCCCTTGACTGGAGTGAACTATAGGTACTGCTCCTTCTGCATGATCCTGTAAAATGAGAGTACTTATCAGTCTCTGGAAACCTCTGCATACATAATTGTAATAGATAAGGAATGAAACATAAAACTGGCAACAGTTTACCCAAAGAACAGCTCCTGATAAGCCTGTGCTAGCCGTTCCTCTGTCTGGTTTGCCTCTTCTATTTGTCATCTGTGATAACAACTTCAAATGAGTTGCACATAACAAAAACCAATGTAAGATGATGCAGTTCAGTAATGATTATGCAATACTACTACCAGTTCATCAGGGGTTCTGTTTGCAATCCTTTTGTGCATAGGTTGTCCTTTGCAAGTCCTCTTATTATGACCAAAAGCTCCACAATGGCCACACTTGAGAGTACTTGACCTTTTTGGTTGTGAAAAGGAAGCTCCCTCATCAGCTTCCCTTCTTCGATTTACTCTTGGTCTACTAGGAGCTCTTCGCAAAAGAGGTGGCAACACAGTTTTTGGGAGTAAATCAGGCATAGCAGGCCACCTTTTCATATCAGAAATAGGATGAATCACTACTGAGTATGCTTTCAAATACATGTCCATTGTGAACTAGGCTTCACAGTAATATTCCAATTTTTCTCTCCTGTACATAATTCCTAGTGCTGCATGTTTACATGGAATTCCAGATATCTGAAAAGCACCACAATTACAGATTCTTTTGCTGAGATTAACTATGTAGCTTCTGTCCAGATCACCAATCTCGAATGTGTCTTCACTAGCCATATGTATCTCACATTTTCTTGATGCTTGGCTAATTTCAGTGAGTTTCTCAGCAATCCTAGGAGTGATATTAGCAGTCATAGTGAAACCTTTCTGGTATCTCGTGTAACTTTTTCATGAACTTTCTCCTCAAACCATCCACTAATGTCAGTATAGGCTTTTCTCTAAGATCACCAACCTAATTATTAAAGGATTCAGTGAAATTATTTGCAACATGATCATACTTAAGTTGAGATGAGAAGACATGCCTACACCAGGAACTTCTTGGAATTTTATCCAGATATCTCCAAGCAGCAATGTTAATATCTTTAATACTTGCCATTGCTTCATTATAGCCAACAACATCATAACTTTTTGCTGCCTTCCAAAAGAAACTTCTAAGTAATATTCCTAGAAATTGAGACTTGAAATTGTTGCATATATGCCTACAACAATGTCGTCCAGTTGCATCAGAAAATATCTCCTCATAAGCAAGATTCAATCCCTTCTGCCAATCACTCATGAAAGTTAAAGGGATGTTGTTGTTAAATTATCCAAAAAACTCTTGAAAGTAGTAGAAAAACCACATCCAAGTATCCTTGTTCTCACATTCAGTTATAGCAAATGCTATTGAAAATATGCTGTTGTTTGCATCCAAAGCAACTGCAATGAGAAGCATACCTCCAAATGGACCCTTTAAGAAACATCCATCAAATCCCACAAAAGGCCTACAACCTTCTAGGAATCCCAGCTTTTGAGCTCTAAAGCTAATTAATATTCTCAAAAATTTAGGCTCAACTAACAGATTTGGTATATCATAATGTATTTTACAAATATTGTTGGGATTATTGTTCCTTAACAGTTCAGCATATTTTGGAAGTTTAGAATAAGATTCAGCATGTGTACTTTCTATTTCATTAAGTGCTTTGTACTTAGCTCTAAAAATTTGTATTTTACTTTGCTTCACACCATACTTCCTCAACTCTGCCTCTACACCTTTGCTGGTCATATTAGGATGATCTCTCATGACACTAACTAGCTTCTTGGCCATCCAATCAGATGTGGCTTCAGCACAGTGTTTATCCATCACACAAGTGTGCTGTGGTTGGTAACTTTTAATCTGAAAAGTGATATTATCAGCCACTGGTGATGCATGTATTCTCCACTTGCATCCCTCAGCATTGCAGATAGCAGTCACTCTAGATCTCTCATTTTTCAATCTCAGAAGCGGAAAGCCTTTTTGAATAACATAATCTTTCAAGACAGCCCTAAATGCATCCACATTGGTGAATAATTGACCTTTCTCAAACTCTATGTCATCTTTAGGATTGTAAATCCACATCTTTGATCTCATTAATTGTCTTATAGGATCATTCCCTTCCTCACTTTCAGAATCAGGAACCAGAATTTCTGCTTCATTGTCTTCAAAATCAAAAAAATTAGTATCACTGTCCTCACTGTCATCATTTGAGACCCTATCTAGAACTAATTCATCCTCATTGTCACTATGCAGATTGTGTCTCTATGAAGAATCAGAACTAGAGTCTCCATACTCATCATCTGAGATATCAACCTCTACTGCTACTGTCTTTTTATTCTGTTTACTAATAACCACAGTATCTTGCATGTTCACAGTAGTTGGATTTACTAAGTTATTCTCTTCATCAGCAGGGATAATTTCCATATCAGAGACATGTAAGTTTATCACATGCAAGTTGGAGAATTGGACCAGTTGCCAAAAGTACTGGTATTTCTGATATCATTACAGTTCATATTTGCTAATGCATTCATGCATATTTTTAACGAAAGTTAATGAAATTTCCAGAAAACATCAGCATGCATCCATCGTGCATGAAATTTCAAGAAACATCTTTAGTTACAGTACTGCATGAAGGAAAAAACATCTTAAGTTTCTTGACACATCTACTGATTAAGCAAAAAACTTCTCCATAATATTAGGGGTGAGTATCGAATTTGAAATCGATAATTCGGTAGCTTGAAATCGGTAATTTTCGGTAAATGGTTCTTGATAGGGTGATAATTGAATGTTTATTCATTGGTATTTGGTCTTAATTTTGGTCACTTATTGTGCAAGGCACTGAATTTCTGCCCAGATTTGGTATTTGTATTATTTGCAGGCGAGTGATGTTAAAAGTGGCAAAAAGAAGTGAATTTCCAGAAGACTAGGCCTTCTCTGGCGTGTCCACGCCAGACAGGGCAGAGTTGCGTGAAAAAGACGAACCGCGGGTCCTATCCCTGGAATTACTACCCTTCTTTGGAAACAAATTCTGAACCTGCGTGAGATGAGAAAGGAGAGTAATAAAAAGCAGCCTTTTGGCAACAAGTTGAGGAGAGAAATAAGGAAGCTTTCTTTTGGAAAGAAAAGTTCCAATTAGTCAAGCAAAAGAAGCGGCGGCGCAAACAATATAAAGAAGACAGCAATAGACTAGGGATTATCTGGGTTTTGGACTTTTCTTTTCTCTGCTTTTGCTTTTATCATTGCTAGTAGCCTAGCGGCCGCATCACTTTCATTTCGTTTTTCGTTCAACAAAATCTCCATGACAACTCTGAATTGCTTCGTCGTTATGTGGCAAGTCTAATCTCTTTATCTAGTTGAGGTGTAATCAAGGGCCAGAACACAAACAATTGTGAGATCATTTTTTTTTTATTATTCTAAATTCTGCGTTTGTGGATATTTAATTATTCTCTAATTTAATAGTCTATTATTGTTTGGATTTGTCGGATCAATGTGGCCAGTTGTTCAGTTGTCTGAATAGTATACTGTCAATTAGGACAAGGGTGCGTATCACTTGATTGTTTTAAATTAGTGGCGAACGACACAATTTCATTGCCTCGTAAGCAGTCTAATCTGAGTCATGGTAATAATTAATCTAGTTTAAATGAACCCATATGTGTGTTTGTTAATTAGAATTGGGTCTCTCTAATTCCTAAAGCTGTGATTAGATTAAATCCTTCGAGGGTCTCTGGGGTTATCTAATTTACAAGAGGGTGGTTTAAGAGCGTCTCTGGATTACCATATAATTAAGGAGAGATTGGGAGTTTGGCGGTTGCTAAATTGCTAGAATCAATTTATTTGTGAACGTGTGATATATCCTTGGTATCTATGATTAATTGTGTGAATCGGTGCCGAGATTATTTCCTTGACTAGGTTGTGTCAATTAATTGCTTATTTTATTCTTGAGTTATTGCATTCATTATGATTGTTCGTTTAATGATTTTAAGACTTTAATTTGTTTTATTTATCTCTCTCTTTTAAAAATCCCCCAATTATCTGTGTGTGATAAATCTACCAGTTTTCTGTGGAAACGACCCTACTCACTACTATACTATTCAGTTTTGGGAGTAGGTATCATTATAAATTTTATCTTTGGTTATTTGACAGCCACCAAATTTTGGAGCCGTTATCGGGGACCTAGTGCTTGAAGTGATTTATTGCACAGGCTACTCTAGTCTTGTTTTATGCTTCGATCTTCTCGTACAGGAAAACTCGAGTTTGACCCCGGAGATCGAGAAAATCACTAGGAGGTTGACAAAGGAGACAAAGATGCAAAAGCAACAAACCTCAACAGCACAATCATCTGAACTTGAGCAAAACTTTCACTTTGGTGACGCATCAATTGAACTGGAAACAATTTCGCCTAGACCCAACGAAACAATGGCAGCCCAAAGAACCTTGAGGGAGCTTGCAACCCCGGATGTTAACCAACAGCCTCTGTGCATCACGTACCTTGACACTGAGGAAGCATTTGAATTAAATTCTGGTTTGATTCACTTATTACCCACTTTTCATAGTGTTGCAGGTGAGGACCCACACAAGCACTTGAAGGAATTTCATGTAGCTGTTCAACCATGAGACCTCAGGGAGTCACTGAGAAACAAATCAAGTCGCGTGCCTTCCCGTTTTCCTTAGCAGATAAGGCCAAGGACTGGTTGTTCTACTTGCCATCGGGGTCCATCACTACGTGGGAAGCATTAAAACGAAAATTCCTTGAGAAGTTCTTCCCAACCTCCAGGGCCGCCAACATCAGAAAGGAGATATGTGGAGTTAGGCAAGCAAATGGAGAGACTCTCTATGAATATTGGAAGCGATTCAAACAACTGTGTGCCAGTTGCCCCCATCATCAAATTTCTGACCAACTGTTAATCCAGTATTTCTACGAGAGACTCCAACCCATGGATAGGAGTATGGTGGATGCAGCCAGTGGAGGAGCTTTGGTTAATAAAACCCCAGACGAAGCCAAACTGTTGATTTCAAACATAGCTGAGAACTCTCAACAGTTTGGGACCCGGTCTGAGGGCATGACTAGGAGAGTCAATGAGGTCAATCATGCTGACCTGGCACATCAGTTAATGGAGCTAACAACTTTGATTCGACAGATGGCAATGGGGAAGGCTCAAACCGTAAAAACATGTGGGATATGTGCGGCCCCCGAACATACAACCGACATGTGCCCAACTCTTCAAGAGGATCCGTACGAGCAGGCCAATGCCATGGGTGGTATGTCTGGAGCCCACCTAAGAAGAAATGACCCTTACGCACCCACATACAATCCAGGGTGGCAGAACCACCCCAACTTCAGCTATGCTCAAAAACCTTCGGGCTTCCAACAACCATTTTCACAGAAATTGCCAATACAATAGCCGTCTACATCTAGATTGGTATGTCCCTAGAAGATATGGTTAAATCGTTAGCTGAGAGCACTTGTCAAATGTGGCAGGACCAACAGAGGTTTGAACAAGAGACACGCGCCGGCATGAGATCCTTGGAGGCGCAGATATCCCAACTAGCGTCCTCAATGAGCAATTTCGAGAATAGCAAGAGAAAACTACCATCTCAGGTAATCCCCAATCCCAAGGAGAATGCGAGTGCAATGCTCCTGCGAAATGGAAAGGAGATTCACCCTACCAAACCGGAAGCAACAAGAAATGGGAAGGAACAAGTGACCGAGGAACCTGAACAAGAAAAGGTAAGCACCCCACCGCGCATTCCTAAGACCTCTGACATAAACCCTCCTTTTCCTGGCAGGTTCACCAAAGCGAAGAAAGAGGAGTCAGAGAAGGAGATTTTGGACACGTTCAGGAAAGTAGAGATTAACATTCCCTTACTGGAGGCGATTAGGCAACTGCCGAAGTATGCAAGGTTTCTAAAGGAGCTGTCCACCAACCGGAACAAGTTGAACTTCCAGGACAAAGTAAGAGTAGGTGAGAATGTGTCGGCAGTCCTCCAGAAGAAGTTGCCACAGAAATGCAAGGATCAAAGTATGTTCACCATACCATGCATTATAGGTCAAAAGAGAATAGAAAGAGGCATGCTTGATCTGGGAGCGTCTATCAATGTTATGCCTCTGTTTATATTTAAAGCCTTAAACTTGGGATCCCTGAAAGAGACAGGAGTGGTGATTCAACTAGCAGACAGGTCCAATGTCTACTCCGAGGATGTAGTTGAAGATGTCTTAGTAAAAGTGAATGAGTTTATCTTCCCTGCTGATTTTTACATTGTTGACATGAATGATGATAACTTAGTTAACTCAGCTGTACTCCTTCTAGGTAGACCCTTCATGAGTATAGGTAGGACTAAGATAGATGTGCATGAAAATACCCTGTCTGTGGAGTTTGACAGGGAAACAATCATGTTTAACATTTTTGATGCAATGAAATACCCCGATGATACCGAGTTTATTAACTGTGTTGGTATTGCTAATTCCACTGTCCAAGATTTTCTTGAGCAGAATCTCATGGAAGACAAGCTGGAGTTCGTGCTACAACATAGCAAGACGACCACCGACGTGGAGAGTAAGGATGAGGAGGAGATTTTAGAAGCCATCATGTCACTGCACTCTCTTCCGGTGTTTCCCGACAGTTAGTAGACGCGTTCTTGCCCTTACCCACATCTACTGAGAGGATTTTGCCTTCTGTGGAACAGACGCCCGAGTTGGAGTTGAAGGAATTGCCAAAACACCTGAAGTACGCCTATCTTGAAGATCACAACACTCTACCGGTCATCATTGCAAATGATTTGACCGAGGTGCAACAAGAAAAACTCCTACGAGTTTTGCGGGAGACTAAACCAGCAATAGGATGGATGTTGGCAGATATCAAGGGCATTAACCTCTCTGTTTGCATGCACCATATCCTCCTTGAGCTAGAGGCAAAATCGGTAAGAGAATGACAGAGAAAGCTCAACCCAGCAATGAAAGAAGTAGTTATGAAGGAGATTCTCAAGTTGTTGGAGCTAGGAATAATTTTTCCTATTTCTGATAATGAGTGGGTGAGTCCAGTGCATGTCGTACCTAAGAAGACCGGCATTACACTTGTACGAAATGAGAAGAACGAGTTGGTGCCTATGAGACTTCAGAACGGATGGCGAATGTGTATAGACTTCAGGAAGTTAAACGCGGCCACCAGGAAGGATCATTTTCCGTTGCCATTCATCGACGAGATGCTCGAGCGATTGGCAGGTAAGTGCTTCTTCTGCTTTCTAGATGGTTACTCTGGATATTATCAAATCACTGTCGCTCAAGAGGACCAGCACAAAATCACTTTCACTTGTCCTTTTGGCACATTTGCTTACTGTCGTATGCCTTTTGGACTGTGTAACGCCCCAGGGACATTTCAAAGGTGCATGATGAGTATTTTGTCTGATATGATTGAAAATTGTATAGAAATATTTGTGGATGATTTCACAATTTATGGTGATTCTTTTGATCAATGCCTACACGATTTGACAAAGGTTTTACAACGGTGCATTGAGACGAATTTAGTCCTCAATTATGAGAAATGTCATTTTATGGTCAAGGAAGGTATTGTTTTGGGACACGTTGTGTCATCTAGGGGTATTGAGGTAGATAAAGTGAATGTTGACTTGATTACTACCTTACCTTACCCTACTAACGTTAAAGAGATCCATAGTTTTCTTGGTCATGCAGGATTCTACAGATACTTCATAAAGGACTTCTCACGAATCGCACACCCATTGTCCAAACTACTTCAGAAGGATGTGATATTCGACTTTGGGGAGGCTTGTAGATTATCTTTTGATGCATTGAAGAGTATGTTGACCACCGCACCGATTATCCAACCCCCGGACTGGAACTTGCCCTTTGAGCTAATGTGCGATGCCAGTCAATACGTAGTGGGAGCTGTACTCGGTCAACGAAGTGGAAAGTGTAGCCATGTCATCTACTATGCTTCAAAGACACTGTCGCCAGCCCAACACAACTACACTACCACAGAGAAGGAGCTTTTAGCCATTGTTTTTGCGTTTGAAAATTTCAGATCGTATCTATTAGGGTCAAAAGTAACGGTTTTTTCTGACCACGCAACGTTGAAATACCTTTTGGCGAAAAAAGAATCCAAACCAAGACTCATTTGTTGGATACTTCTGCTACAAGAGTTTGACTGGGAGATCAAAGATCACAAAGGGGTGGACAATTTAGTAGCAGACCACCTGAGCCAGTTGATCAGAGAGGAAGAAGGGGCACCCATATCCGAGGTATTTCCAGATGAGCACTTGTTTCAGTTTAGAGGGGAGGAACCATAGTATGCTGATATTGTTAATTTTCTAGTAAGTCATAAATTTCCAAGGGGTATGAGTAAGAGTAAAAGGGATAAAATTGTCCAGGACTCCCGATATTACATTTGGGATGAGCCCTATCTATGGAAAATAGGCTCTGACCAAATTATTCGGCGATGTGTTCCACAGGGGGAAATTCCCTCTATACTTGCTCATTGTCACAATTATGCCTGTGGTGGCCATTTTGGTCCTAAGAGAATGGCAAGAAAAATTCTTGACTGTGGATTCTATTGGCAAACCTTGTTTCGCGATGCTTATGTGTTCTGTAAAAACTGTGAAAAATGTCAAAAGTCTGGGAGTTTATCTCACCGGGATGAAATGCCCCAAGTCCCCATGCTGTTTTGTGAAATTTTTGATATGTGGGGCATGGATTTTATGGGACCTTTTCCTAGCTCTTTCGGGTTTCTTTATATCTTGCTAGCCGTTGACTATGTGTCCAAATGGGTAGAAGCAAAAGCTACCCGAACTAATAATTCACGAGTTGTTGCAGGATTTCTCAAGTCCCATATTTTTAGCAGGTTCGGAGTACCCAAGGCAATCATCAGTGAGTAAGGCACTCACTTCTGTAATCGCACCATTGAAGCCCTAATGCGTAAGTATGGGGTTCATCATCGAGTTTTTATGGCCTACCACCTACAGACTAATGGGCAAGTTGAGGTCTCTAACCGAAAGGTCAAGAGTATCTTGGAGAAAACGGTCAACCCAAGTCGTAAGGATTGGAGTACCCGATTGGATGATGCACTATGGGCGTATCGCACGACATATAAGACACCAATCGGAATGTCTCCGTATAGGCTGGTTTTCAGTAAAATGTGTCATCTACCTGTGGCTATTGAACATCGGGCATTTTGGGCAGTTAAACAGTGCAATTTAAACACGGATAGAGCTGGAAAGGAAAGGAGACTCCAACTTCAGGAGTTGGAGGAAATCCGTTTGGACGCCTATGACAATGCCCGACTATACAAAGAGCGCAGAAATCTTTCCATGATCAATTTGTGCGCATTAAGCATTTCTCTATAGGGCAGAAGGTGCTTCTATTTAACTCACTGTTGAAATTTATGCCAGGTAAGTTGCGGTCCCGGTGGATTGGACCGTATGTTGTTGTCAACATGTTTCCGAATGGTGCGGTTTAGATTAGGAGTCTAGAGACTGACAAGAGTTTTAAGGTGAATGGCCATCGTCTCAAGCCATTTTTGGATATTTCAGAAATTGGTACTGTGGAGGAAGTCCATCCACTCGACCCAGTTCTAATTAAGTGTTGATCTCCCCATCGTCTGGCCACAGACGTTAAATAGAGGCACTGCTTGGGAGGCAACCCAAGAGTTTCATCTTTTAATCGTTTCTTGAGTTCTTATTCCTTGTTTGTGTGTTTTAAATCAAGTTCTTAGGAGACCTATTGATGAACGACCTGTTTTGTAGGCTTTGGATGTGCTCGGTACAGTTTTGTATGAGGTTAGGGGCACAAATTTTGGAGCAGACGATTTTACGTTACATGGCGTGCCTGCGCCTTGAATTCACCACACATTGACTTTTGTATCAGCTGGTGAACAGAGGACTTACACTTTCAAGGCATGCCCACGCTCTACACGGTGCAGTCCGATGCCCAGTTCCACGACAGTGGTGCCCACTTAACTTTCAGTTCCAAGGCATGCCCACGCCGAACAACATCTCACATTGGCCATGCTCCAAGCCCTTGGTCAGATGACTCTCCACTCCAAGGCGTGTCCACGCTACCCCAACATTGCCCCACAATTTTTTCCTACTTCCCCTTACTTTTCCTACTTTTCTCATTCTTTTCTTTGTCTTTTCCTTTTTGGTCTTCCTTATTCTACCCCAATCCTTGACCCGATCTCCCAGCCGTCGCCATCCCAAGCATGCACGCCACGCCCCATACCCACGGCCGCCGCCCCCTCGCTGCCATCAACAGACGCGCTCGCTGCGCGCCTGCCGACGCCACGGCTTCCGACCTCTGGTCCAGATTGCACCCGCCGACGCCGCACTCGCACGCCGCGACCCCTGCCTTCTGCCGCGGTTCTCTCGCGTCGCCATACCCACGGCCGCCACCCACTCCGCTTACTCACCACCCGCTCGGCCCGAGTCGTGAACCAGCTCTGTAACGCCGCTTTCGCTGCAGCCATTCTAGATCTGCGCCTACTGCAGCGCGCCAGCCACCGGGCCGCGTCCCATCTCCCAGGCCAGTCGCACGCAGCTCACGTGTCGTCGCGTGGTCTCCCCTCGCCATGGCCGTTCCTCACGGCGTGATTCAGTGGTACTCCTACTTTCCTCTTTTAGTTTCTGGTGACTTCGATTTGGGGTGGTGGGGCTAATTATTTGATACTTGTGGGTTTGTGACTCGTCTATTGGTTTGGGATAGTTGCCTGTTGACTGCTATTTTGGGATTTCTTGGCTGCTTTTCTTTCCTTTTCATTGTCACAAGTACACTAGTGGGCGTTCTGTTATTTATTCTTGCTTTATTTGTTGACTGTTGACTGTGGGTAGTGTATTTTTGGTCCCCTGCCTCAATTTGGCATTTCTTTGTCACTCTCTGCCTTTGGAATTGTCCTATTTACCCCTATGCCTCCAAAGCAAGGTGCTACCTCTGGGGCATCGAGCTCCAACCCTCGTAAGAGGCGAGCCCCGGTCCAACCCCCTACTCGGTCCCGTTTGGGACTGTCCAGGAGTACTTTGTCTCCTGGAGTATGGGGGAAACCTCTGAAGGACCTCAATCCGGAGCAATAGCAGCGCTTGAACTCATTGGTGCCCTATCCGTTCGTTTCGTGCAAATGTTTCCACCTCCCAACTCTCGACCAGTTAAATATTGCTCGGGAGGTGGAGCAGTTGTTTACTGTCATAGGGTGGGGTAAGTTCCTGGTTATTGACTGTCCAGCGTATGAGGAGCTCTGCTTTGAGTTCTATGCCACTTTCGAGTTCTAGCGGTCCGCTGATCTAGTCTTAGATTCCCCGGGGGTCATCAGGTATCGTCTGAGAGGCACCCCGCAGTCCCATTCAATCAACGAATTTAATTTGTTGTTGGGCTTTGTGAGTGAGGACACCATCGCCTCCAACGCTTATATCAATAGCGCGTGCGACTACACCCGCCCTTTCGCCACTTACTACATCGAGATCTGGCGGGAGTGGTCTACTGACAGGCAACTCTACTATCCGAGTCAGTCCAAGGCCTCGTATCTTAAAGATCCGGTGCTGAAGGTTATGCATCGGTTTCTGGCCTATAACTTCTCGGGTCGGAAGAATTCTTCTGGCATTCCTGCCAAGGCCGAGTTCTATTTCCTCTGGTGCATGCGTAATCGGGTTTAGGTAAATTTTGGTTGCTGGATGGCCTCTTAGTTACAGTCCGTCCTTAGTAAGCGCCATAAGCCCTTGATTATGGGCTCCCTCATTACTTATTTGGCCACCCGCTTGGGAGTCCTCGATCTCGATAAGGAGTATAAGCCTATTTTGGCTCGCGAGCTTGAGACTTTGAACCTGCGCAGCCTTGAGAGGATAGGGGTCATTCACAAGTGGGGGACGCTTATCAGTTCACATCTCCTGGAGAGGGTATTCCCCAGCCACGAGTTCCTTCCACGGCGCCAGACGAAGCCCAGGAGGGTCCTTCCTCTTCCGTTGCCCCGTCGTCTTGGGACAGTCAGTTCCGTTACCTACAGGACTCGATCACTGATTTGGGTGACCAGGTAGCACACCTGGATGGCCGTCTCACAGCTCTGCAGGTTTTCACTTGTATCCAGGCAGAGAATCAAGCCGCCTTCTACACCCACATTGGCTTTCAGCCTCCTCACCCTCCACCTCCATAGTGCTATCGTACCTTCGTGGCCCTCAGGGAAGCTCCAGTCCCTTCCTTGTTATCTTTTCTTTTTCCTTGCTTCATTGAGGACAATGTAGAATTCTGGTGTGGGGGGGACTAGTTTTAGCTCTGGCCTTTTAGGTTTGATAGATATTTTTAACTCTTTAGGTTTTTATTTAAAAAAAAACTCAGAAAAAGGAACAAAAAGAATAGGTGTGGATTCGGTTGATAATGTCTAGGACTTTATGCTATGATGATGATTGCAATTACTTTACCCGCATCAACAGTGTTATTATGTGGATAAATGTCTTATTTTCTGAAAAATAGAATTAAATGAGGAAATTTGCAAGTTTTGACTGTTGATACTCTATTGTGAGCTATTGAGCTATTGGGCTCTGTATTGATAGGTGCTCGATTTTCTTTCTTTGAGTGATATCACACTTAATTTGATTGTTCTAGAATTTGCTTTGTTGTGCATGTCAAGACCATATCTCCGAGTTTGATGCATTAAAAGGATAAGGGCACTTAGGTTCACCAGTGTTTAGGTTTCTAAAGACCAACCCTATTCCGATCTTCCTTAGATGACCATTGTTGAGCCTAGACTTTTTCTTTGTCTACAACCCATTTTGTTACCCCTAAACCTCTCGTGTTCAAACGTTCTTTGTTCCACCCTGTGTCAAAGGAATGCCTTGATTTTAATGCATAATGAGTTCAAATTGGATTGAAATGAGACAAGTGAAGTAAGCAAGTGTGTTACATGTAGCTATGCGCATTTAAAAAAAAAAGAGAAAAAAAAGGGAGCAGAAGACTATGGGTTCCAAGGCGTGCCCACGCCTTCCGAAAAAAAAAAGAGAGAGAGTGCTTTTGTCCATATGTGTTTGTTGACATAATTAGGTGAAGTCCTTGGTTGCGCTTGCACTTGCTATTGTTGGGGAATTTATGGATATGCTTTGGAAAGATCAGTGGAATGAAGAAGGAAACTGGAAGTTGTAGACACCAAAATTTTAGTGTAATTTCATTTACTATTTATTATTTAGTTTTTATTTGTCGTGTTAGTTTTATTCACTTTTTAGTTTTTTTTATTTTTATTTTTATTTTTATTTTTAAGTTTTTAGCATAGAATTTCTCGGAAAGAAAAAGAAAAAAAGCATTCAGAAATTATGCTTTAGTTGTTTTTGATTTAAATTCAATGTTTTCTTAAAAAAAAAAAAAGGGGAAAAGAGCCGCATGCAGCAGCGTGAAAACCAGACCATTTGCTGGTAAATCGGATGGCTGAGGATATGGGAGGGAACCAACCCTTCATCCTCACCTTTGAGGTGAGGGTTTAGGGGGTATGGTTCCCCATATAAAAGAAAAGGGACGCCGCAATAGAAGAGGGGAGGATAAGAGCAAGGGGTCGGAGGAGCAGAAAGAAAAACTGACGGGATAGCTTGCTCTGACGAAAAATTTTCTGCTTAGATCTCTGGCTGTTGAAAGGTGACTGAAATCATCTCCAAGTCCAATAGATCGAAGCCTAAAGTCATAGGTTCTCCATTACCAGAAACCGCTGCGGCAAAATTTCTGGGCTTCGTTCCAGCAATCCCCATGACTTCCTTGAAACACCTTGCCTTCATTTGATCACGCTAGCACCCTCAGTTCGGTCGGATCGCAGTTGCAAGTTCTAGACTAGCCGAGGCAGAAATTTCTGCTGCGAAGTTTCTTTGGTTCGTTCAGCGAACGTCGAGCCCACCTTGGAGAATTTCCACGTTCGTTTGAGGCCCAAAGCCGTTGAAAGGTATCCCATGTTTCCCTTTTTCCTCATCGATTCTTGACAGTGTAACAAGCATGCCAAAATGTTGTTTCATTTGTTCTTGCCGTTTGCATTTCTCTTGCTGTTTCCATCTAGAGATTTTCTCCGTATTTTCTTGTGATTGAATGTGATATTTGAGTAAATAAGAATTGGGCATCATTGGAAGTTGCATTATGATTTCATTTTGTTTCTGAACTTGGCTATTTGGATGGAAAATTTTGTTGGAAACTAACCCGAAAGAAAGCTTGTAAAAGGTTTTTGAAGTTACGAACATTTGCCAGATTTCTGTACGCTATCTTGTTCTGAATTTTTGTGGTTTTTGTGTTGAGAGCTCAAAACAATTTTTTGGTGATATGGCTGCATAGGCCAGTTTTCGTTTGGTTGAAGTTTAAGAGCACAATAGCTGCTACAACAAGCATGAAGCACTCAGCT